TCCTTTTTCCCAAACTATGCACTAGGTAGGAGATTTCACAGAAACAATCGCTCTATTCTTTGGGTACAGCTCTTTGGGTACAGGGTCAGCTTTGCATACATTTCACCCCTTACAAACTCCTTCAGGTGGGATATACTGGGTCTGTTTGGTTTGATAATTTCTTTGCCCTTTGGAATGGAGGAAAAGTCTTCTGTTCATACATTTACCCACGACTCTATCCCTTGTAAGATTTATTGGGTTCGTTTAACTTGCTACCAAACATTCTGGTAACAGATGCTTGTATATATATTTTTTTGAATTGTCATCTACTTGACTGCAATTCTTATTGAAATTAGTAACCAGATAACCGAAATGGATACGTTTGTCGTTACACAAACTTACATTCAAACATCAGTTTGCAAAATCACCATGAAATGGTGCCATGAGCAAGATATGTGGCACCGATGATCTTGTACTCGGTTGTAACTCCGTTATTCCCCTCCCAAACCATTGTGGCAACAAGGTTAGAGATTATGTACTCGACAAGCTCATTGAAAAAGGGTTTTAAGTCTTTTGAATAAAGGTTTGATCCACTGTCATTAGATTAGTGGTTGACCTAGAAAAGTTTTCAAGCGATGACGCAATTAATATCGGTTGCTTGCACTTGCAAACGAAGGGTTATGGGTTTCGACCATTGCTACTGCTTTCCTCCGACTTTTTTCACAGAAGCTATAATATAAAATCTAAAAAACAAATACAGTTGGATCGTACCCTATTCTCACCCATTCTTGAATTTAACTACTGGGGAACATTATTTTATATGTTTTGAGAGTCCGTATTGGATTTGAGGTCGAGTGGATGGACGGAAGACCATCGTTCTGACAAAATGGAATGAAATGGTGTTTTCGGTAAAATCGAAACTTTAAACATTGTTATCTCTCTCAATAATAAGTATTTTGAAGTGATTCTTTCTTTCTGGAGTTAAATAAAGGTGTTATGTAGATTTTGCAAAACGAATCACAAAAAATGGTCGAGAAACGATGTCGTACGGGTCAAAACGGCCGGTTGTTGCTGCTGCCCTCGCAACCGGGTCGCGTTGTCTTGATGGGCGGAGCCCTGCGGACGAAACCCGGGCCGGCTGGAGCTGGGCTTCAGGGAGGGATATTGTTGGGCCGACAAAATGGATTAAAGTGATATTGGGCTTCTAAAATGATGATTGAGCTAGTTTTAAAATACAGATTATTGGGCATTATTTTTTATTCTAAACATTAATTTATTTAAACAAATTTTAAATAAATAATATTCTAATTATTGATTACGATTATTTATTTTAGAAATTAATTTATTTAAATTAGTGAGATTATTAAGGAACATTTAAGATATTTTTATAACTTAAAGATTAGTAATTATTGAATTATTTAGGAGGTTTAAAAAGGGTGAATAAAGCGTCATAACTTGTACGATTAATTATTTTAAGACGCTTTAAGATGGCAAGATTAGAATACCCAATTATAAAGACGTTAAATTAACGTTGTGGGTTAGTGTTAAACTTGGTCTTTAGAGGTTAACCATGGTTGACCACGAGTTGACTTCTAAGTTTACTTTTAAAGGTACATAGTCGTTTATTTGACTATTATGGTTATGAATTATAGGTTATCAATCGGAGTTTATCACTAAGTAACATATACTATCAGGTGAGTCTTTATGAGAGTTTTACTCGGATGCATGCTTACATAAAAATGTATTTGAGCATTAGAATTATTTGGGACAGATATGTTTTGCATAATATTATCTTTATATACATATTTATGGGCTTTAATACATGTATATAATTTATTATGCAGGTTGCATGTTATTCGTTTACTGTTTTAAATATTATTTAGCATTACTATCAATAGGGTATGGGATTGAACCGATATGGTCATAAGGGAAGGAAATTCTTAAGGATGGGTGATCGGACTAGGGAGAGCCGTATAAACCGAGGAACGCCAATGAGAATATGACCCTTACCAAATGGGATAGTATATGAGATCTCGTAATCAGTAAATGGTTTTAAAACAAATGTGCATATTATTTTTATTTGGGGTATATGCATGATGGGACATGTGCTCTTTGTGCACGAAACCATGAACTCACTAAGCTTTGTATAGATGACTATTAGTACGCATCTCAGGAGCAAGAGGTTCAAGGGTGGACAAAGGCAAGGTTCTCGCTTAGATATTTTGTAGATTTTGGGATGTTTGGATTTTATGATTGAACTCATTTTGTAACATAAGCCGGTATAGGATGGTTTAACATTGGTGTTGATCCCAGACGGATCTACAAGAGTTTATAGGTAACATTTTGTAAAAGGAGGGGGATGAATACAAACACACAATTTTCACTTTTTGAAATCCTTTATTAATCAATACAGAATTTACAGATTGTTTGCGGAAAAAGATAATATACAGAACTTATCTAAACAATCTAGGAAACACACAAGATACAGAAGGAAAAAAAGAGAAAGTGTTTGCTTGAGAAGAAGCTATAACTTTTCTTGAGGGTAAGCTTAGAAATGAATGTATGTGTTGTTCTTCGTTGTATGGAGAAAAGAGTCTCCTTAGGTATTTATACCTATTACATTTAATGCAAGTCAGAGGGTATAAAGCACTTATCCTTTGTCTTCAGATATACGGGATTTTGGCCGTATATGAACATTGGTGTAGGTAAGAGCGCTTGGAGGCAATGGAGTGACTCCGAACATGTGCTTTACTGTGTGAAGTATGGGGTTGCCCTTTGTGTGTAGGAGGATAAGACAAAAACTAATCTTGTAGAGCAAGATTCATTTGATCGTTGAGACTGTCATAACTTTAGAGTTTCTTCAGTGTTTACTGAATATTGAATAGACTTCACACTTGATTGTAGGCATGCTTGTTATCACTGAAACCGCTTCAGATCACTAACTGCTTGTCTCTATCTTCAGTTATATCTTCGATATTGCTGAAGGTTCATTTGGTGTGTGTTTTGTCTTCTTGTAGAATACTTGTTCATTAGAAAAGTTTACAATACATGTTTAACGATCACTGAACAAGCTCAGTGATGATCGTTGTAACTGAATAAAACAGAACTAAGTATTTTTTGCTAAGTATAAAATGATCATCATCAAATCATTGATAGAGTTTGGATCAACGGTTGGGTTATTAATTGTATCTAAATTTTGTAAGACTTTCGTTGTGACAGGGCTTTATTAGCCGTTATGTTTTGGATTATTTATTGTTATTTAATGAGAGTGACATGACACAACTCATGGCGAAAAATGAGGGTGTTACTATTGAAATGCTTTCAACGTTTGATCTTGGATTCTTTTCGACAAATAATTCATCATGATGGCGTCTGATCGTTGTTTGTTGGTCCCAAAAGGATTCTACAAGAGTTATAAGCACACAAGTTTTTCTTTTTAAATTCTTTTATTGATATTGAGTAATCAAAAACATAAATTTTACAAATTGTTGCATAATAAGGTACGATTGTAACCTAATCTAAAAAATTTGAGAATGTTGATCCTCTCTCTCAATGATTTCATGATGATTCCTTTTACTTTATGAAATATACTATATCTATATTCAACTTCAACAATCATCAATGAGTCTGTTCAGTGATCGCTGAACATGTATTGTAATTCCTTCAGAGACCAGTATCCTTTAGGAAGACAAAACTCACACCACAAATCTTTCAGCGATATCGAAGATAGAAGCTGAAGATAGAGACTAGCAAGTTCGTGATCTGAAGCGTTTTTCAGTGATAACAAGCTCATTTACACAAGTGTGAAATCTACACAAGATTCAGCGAACACTGATGGGACCTTCAACGTCATTCCAGTGTCAGCGATCAAATGAATCTTGTTGAACAAGATTAGTTTTTGTCTTGTCCTTCTGCATACAAATGACAAACCCATACCTTTTAAAGTAAATTACAGTACATAGTCACTCTATTTTCTCCAAGCGTGCTTACTTACTTTATGAAAAAAGATTGTTCATATACGACTAAAAGACTGTATATCTGCATCAAAGGACAAGTTCACCTCGTGAAGTTTGCCACGTGCTTTTGTACCCTCTGACTTGCATTTAATGCAATGAGTAAAAATAGTTGAGAAGTTTTCTCTTCTCAGCAGTCTTCGTCTTCTCTATCTCAAGACTTCTACTCTAACAAGTGAAGAGCATAAAACCTTCTTAACTTATTTCTTTTAGCAACTCTTTTCTTTATTTCTATCTATAACTTGTATGTATCTTTTATTGTTTAGATAAATTCTATATCTTATTCCGCAAACAATCTGTAAAGATCTGTACTGATCTTCTTTATCAATATCAGTTTTTAAAAAGTGGAAATTGTTGTGTTTGTATTCATCCCTTCCCCTTCTACAAACTGTTAACTATAAACTCTTATAGATCCAGATGAGACCAACAAGTATTATTAGAGCAGTGTTTGTTTTAGTGTTATATTGTTGTTTTATTGGTGTTTTATTATCTCTACTTTCTAGATAGATTATTTACCTTTCAAATGGCTTTGCAAAACACTAGCACAAACTTTCACGACAATGAATTTCTTGCCAAACCTCTCCGATTCATCAGAGACAAGTATCTAGAAAAACCGGATGTTTATTTTCTTAGGAGATATGGATCATGAGATTTCATACTACATTGAGAATGGACCTTATGTTTCATTCACAATCTCTCCACCAGTGCCTACTACTGCTACGATCACAATGATTCTTGAACAGAAGATTCTGAAGCTCCT